TGAAGCTCATTTTAGAGGTGTTTCGTCCGGTTCATGCAGCTTAGATCTGGTAAAAACGTGAGAAAGAACCAGAAAAAAGTTCACAACTTCGACTGATGTATTTTAAATGAGAAGAAATTCAACTATTACTGCTGCTACTCCTGCAAGAAACACCACTTTTCAAGAAGTCTGGCTCAATCCAGAGCAAATTAAGACAAAATATAATTTAAGACGAGACCAAAAAATGTTTTATCAGGATTTGCAGAGAAATAATATCCTGTAAATATAAATATCTACCAATCTGCTCCAGCAGTGAACTAAAGTTTCTGCGTCGTGTGCGATCCCCTTATTGTCATGTGTGCGTGATGGTCATTTTTGTCCTGTTAGTGTGTGTGTGTGTGTGTGTGTTTACAGTTTTCCAAAGGCACAGCAAAGGATTTACTTAAATCCTGTCATTAAGTGCACGCCGCTCTCATCGGGCATGATTTGAACAGTCTGACCAGGACTTAAGCCGGAAAGAAGCCAAACAGACGCATATATGGGTATACAGTATGTGCACGTATCCAGATGTACAGCTCACGGGTGATCGCGGAGGAGGTGAACTGAGGAGAACAATGAGCATCTACAGGCAGAAGGAGGGAAGATAGGAAAAAAGAGAGAGAGTGACCGAAGAGAGAAACAGCTGCAATAGAGAGATAATGAAAGAGAGAGATGGAGGCAGACAGGGAGAGAAACAGCAAGAACAAGAATATGACAGGGGGAACAGAAAAACAAAAACAAAGAAGGTGATTTTCCACATCAATAAACTCTGCTTTCACACCGTTGTCCACTTGGGCAGCTGACAGAGGGATGGAGAGAGGAAAAGAAAAGAGAAATGAAGGGGGGGGGGGGGTGTTCTGTCAAAGCAAAGAAACAAATTGGCCGTTTTAACAGATCCTGATCTGTTCCCCTGCACCAATGTCACACATGTAGCAGCCAGAAGTCTCAGCCATTTTACCACCTGAGATGGCTGTGAAAGATGTTGACGTTAAAAGTATCTGTGTGTGTGTGTGTGTGTGTGTGTGTGTGTGTGTGTGTGTCTGTTTTCACTCTAAATGTTGCCATGCACAAGTTGACCTCTATATAAGCACCCCAGAAGACGGGAATGAATCATGGTGGCGCTTATTCGTGAGTTGTATATTCATAAGACTATGAGAGGCAGCATCTCTGGGGCGGCTGCTAATGCCTGTGACTCACAAGCGTTGGTAACAGCTGAGCATTTTTGCATTGTAAAGCACTTTCTGAACACGCAACTACCGGGCATTGTTTTGACCACATGCAGAGTTTTATAAGCTAATTGGCACGTCTCTGCACCGAGTCGCAACTTATAATTTCAAACAAATTGGGTCATTCCCTCCCTTACGATCCCCTCATGCAAATGTATAATTTGAGGGTGCAGCAAAGATTGAAACTGTATGCAAATGTATTGACATTTGAACAATTAAAGAGGAGGTCTTGATTTGTGTGGGTGTTAACTGCAGCACTGGGGGCTTTTATACGGAAGTGATTCAGAATCTAATTTTGCAACAAGGGATAAATAAAAGGTTTCCAGGGCTCACCTGTGTCCCATCGTTCTGTTTGTGCATACTTCTGGTAAAAAATAGCTTTTGATATGCTTACTCAGTGGTTTGAGACCACATTTCAGAGCCTGGCGTGAATAAATGGTCCATAGAAATTGGTGCATAATGTGTTTTCTCGGGGAAAACCTCATTTAAATCAATTTAATCATCTCATTTACAATATGCAACAAAGGAATATGTCTTTCTATTAGATCCTATATGCAAGAGGGAAAGCAGGCATGAAGCCCTGGTTAAATGAGTGGATTATTGCGCTGTTGGTCAAAGCCAAGAGAGGGACTTACTGACCCATTTAATGTCCACTTCCAGTGAAGCCGCTTGTTGGATGTGACCCCATCTACTCCCCCATAATCCTACAAGAGATGATCTTGCCTCGACACGAGCAACGTTATTGGACTTGACAAGTACCCAACTGTCTGCCACACAGGGTCTCAACATCACTTTGATGTGATTGAATTTCATGACGGAGCAAATCATGTGACAGACGTCTTTGTGCATTTGAAAAATCGGGAAAAAGAAGTAGGAAGTGCCGTGCATGATAGCAAATACACACAGTGTCAACCTTGCTCCCCACAAATACATTGTTGACTAATCATCTGTGCGTGCTCTGAAATTCTCTCGAAGAGGAAAATTCTGCGTTTAAATGCAAAACCTGAAGATCGTCTGTCTTTTCTTTTGAAGAAAAAAATCCAGACAATTAACACAGCTTGAGCATCTCCATTAATAATCACCCATGCTGTGTTGTATTAACAATGGTTCCTGCATGCTAATGTTCTGAGCTTTTCATGATGTGTTTGCAATAATTTGAACAGAGCTGAAATGTTATTTTTTCATTGCAAGTTTTCCTTTAGGCAGAACGCAGTTCAAAAACACATACCTTTGACTGCTACCACCACAGAAGCATTGTTGCGGCTCGGTTTAGTGCTTAGTGAAGCAGACATGGAGATAAAGCAGAGAGGGCGTCCAGTGACAGCCAGAAAAAGTGCCATCATTTATGTGCCAACATCAGCCGTGTGGGAGGACAAGTTTATTGACATCTTGATGATCATCTTGGACAATTCTCCCTTCGACACATCAACTGCATCGCAACATACATTAGTCAGGGGTGGGGCCAGACTCATTTCTCCTTCGTCAGGAAAAGAAAACTGATTCCTCATTGACCATAAAATAAAGATGTGTGAATACGGGACAAAATAGTGCACAGTATGGTGTTGGGACTTAATACTAGTAACCAAAAGCAACATTCTGTGATGTTCATGTTATGGCACCAAATTATCAACTACGCTACCTCTACCACCAACACTAGCCAGTATACACCGGGGTCAACGTTAGCAGGTATACGGTATCTTTTTCAGCGAATAATTTCCTATTGCCAGTAGGAGTTTGCCTCTCTGTTTGCCTCTCTGTTTTTCCCCCCAGTGTAAAACAGAAGCTCTCCCACCTCACCGTCTTGCCAAATTGCCACGTTCACCCGGGTGTCATGTTTCCATCAGTGCTGATTGAAGGTGATAAAAACCTGTGTCTACTGCAGACTCATTTGACATGGGAGTGAATGCTGATTGTATCCATTCCCATTGCAGACAAAAGACAGATGTTAGTGGGTACTGGTGGGTTTTTTGACCAGTGAAAAAGAGGAAAATTAGGGTTAAGTTCTCTGCAGCCGTTTCTCCGTAACACTCAATACTGCACTTTGCGAGTTTGAAGTTGATCTGATGAGCAGTTTCTGATATACATATATACAGATTTCTGGATTCATTAGTAGGATACTCTACAGGATGTGGAGTGGGTGCGGGTCTGAATGTGAGGATCAACAATGTTAGGCATGTTTCTCCTGCACGCAGGCACAACACACAATAAAATGAATGCCGTCTCATTTCAGGGTAAAGCCTCTGATTTCGCTATCGGTAATCAGCGTCCATTCAACAGCTGAATAAATCAATGGAGCGTGCAGCCTATCTATACGCAGCTTATTCCAAGAATCCATAACAGCCATGCTGAAAAAATAAAAGGTGTTGTGGAGGCTGCTGCTTGACTGCTTGATAATCAGTTTACTGTATAGGAAAATATAATGGCATGCAGAGACATGCTCAGATATAATTTTACTAGGGAGTAGAAATGGGTAATATTATGACAATTTTATAGCAGCAAATTCAATTCAAAGTAAAAATCAGCTCATTTAAAATTCTCGGCACAAGTTTGTGGAATTATTTTTTGGACATGACTAAAATAAGGACGTTATCTGACTGTGGCATATTCCTGAGCTGTTCTAAATTAACTTGTTACATGCAAATATTTAATATTAAAAAACGTCCAACTTCAAAGATGTTATTCAGAGTTGGAAAAATAAAAAATAAAATATTTTTTAATCTTGTTTCTCATGGTTGTTACAGGATTTTACTCAGTGTACCCCCTGCATCTTAATACTGCTTTCAGACCTGGACTGCGTTCTTTGTTACCGTCAAGCTTTCCTCGGTCAGGCTAGATTGATGAGGCTACACAGGCTGAACTGGATTTAGCCACCATAACCCATGCTTGCCCCATCAATAAGAGATTGGACGTGCAAACACATGAACAAATATTGAGCTCTTGGATAATCTGTGAAAAGTTGCTTGACCTCCGTGGCTCATTACTGACTGCGTTAAACATTACGTGGACTTAGAAGTCTGGGTGTGGAGGGGATTAGAGTAATTACTGTTATTATAGTCTAAGCATAAGGACTATAGCAAGTCTAGGCTAGCCTCCCCTCAGCTCTTGACAGCTAAATTAAAAACATAGTGTATGTTTTTAATGATATGACCCAGGGTGATTGATCCATCTCCCTTGTGTCTTCCATCTCTTTTGCTCTCAGACAGAACTTTAAATCCTGACAATCTTCCCTCAGAGTGTGTGGAATATTTCTTTTAATGACCGATGGAGAATTGGAGCTTCAGTGTCACTGGGAGAATAATCTAACCTTGCCCCAGGCGAGACTTTGCACCTGTCCAGGCATGTATGTTTCCAGGGGTGAGAGTATACCTCTCTCTCCCGGTCTTACACTCTAAAAAAAGGCGATATGCTAGCAGGGGTCCCTCAAGCCTTAGCACCAGGGACTCAGGGAACACCCAGACGGCAAGCCTCCCAAATCCCTGTGATGCTGATCCCTTATGATATGGTAGCTGGCTTTGAGGTGTTGTTTACCACACAGTTCCCCCCTGGGATAATTTCCTACACTCCAAAGCTTTCGTAACATATCTAGCACATATTAGATTCTAAATTAAAAATCAGTCAGCTGTGACACTTGATACATAGATGGGGAATACCAAAGGAATATCAAAGCGCACTTGACAGTGACTAAAATTACGATTTCAGCAATGCAATCTAACCATTATTATCTGCAGGAGAACTGACTGGGGGCTGGGTTCTTACCATGTGCTGGATCAGGTGAGCCAAACTCCAGATTGTACCTCAGGATGTAAAAATTATTCCACACATAGAGCTGGTTATCTCGCGGATTATAATCCACAGCTGCAATGTACTGGTACTGGTTGGGAAAGTGGATATCAACGTATTCCCCACGGTTCTGTTTGGTGTTGTATATGTAATCGATCAGGCTCTTGCTGACCTCGCTCTCATTGTCTTCATAGGTGGAGCGGACCACGTACAGTACTCCACAAACCATGAAGGCATTGGAGGCTGAGCGCTTATCATAGGCCGTGTCCCAGGTAGCCTCGAAACGTAACGTGTAGGGGTTCAACTGGCTGATCACCATCATGCCATTGTTCTGCTCCGTGGCGTAGATCACCCACAGCCCGTTCTCGTCGACCGCCAGATCAATGTCTGTTTTGCCGCCCCACTTGTAGGGCGACGTGTCGTGGTAGTTTGCGTTATTGATGATCGCCTCGCCGCTTTTGATACGAGTTCGCAGGTCAAACTTCACGATGTTGCGCGTACGTTCCTTGTTGAAAAACACAGCACCATCGTAGACCACGAATCCGGTCCCATCCACCCGGTGGGGCAGCTTGTAGGTAACGGTTTGCCGGGCGTTTTGGTAGTCATCCAGGGAGGAATACTCAATGAGAGTGTCTGTCCTATAAGGAGTCCAGGGCATGAAGTAGATTTTGTCGCCGGCTTGCAGTGGGTCTTTGCACCAGGCGCCAGCTTGTTGCTCCGCTTCAAATATAAAGGAAGGCTCACCGACAGCTTTCAGAGTCCCAGGACAAATAAAAACTGGTAATGGGAGAAGAGTAGAATAAAAAAAGAAACAGTAACAGGTTAACAGGTGAAATATAACACAATGAAAAACTATATATGATATCAATAAAATGTCTAATGACTTCATTTTATTTTACAGGTTGTCCGAGAGGAGTGGGGACAAACACACATTGAAGAGTGGCCAAAACGACTAACAACTATAGCCAATATTCACAAGCAGTGTGCGGATTTTGGTTTTGTGCATAGAAAGAAAAAAAGAAACAGGAAAGTTAATTAAGCATAATGTTTTGATATATTAAGTAGTCTGAAAAAAAGAAGCTTGGCCTCATTGACATTTACTGTTGGGAATAGAACACAAATGAGGGGAAATAGAACAGAAACAAAACTTAACGAAACAATCGGTCCTGTAAACAACAGCTAAAGTCAAACGGCAACAGACGGGAGAGGTTATGAGAGAGCAGGAGTCGGCAGAGTCTGCAAAATGTGTGCGTGCACCTAGACATTGGTTGGTTGCACCACCTTTGCTACCGTATATACCTGAGAGGGTTGTCATTACAGAGTGGTGCAAATGTCACAACCATTAAAATTAGAAAGTAAAAGAAAAACTTTCATTAGGGGTGTTTGGGCTTTGAGGCATAGGAGGCATAAGAGTCGACACAGGAAAGCAGCAAGTGGTCAGGTGAGAATAATGGGGAGAAGAGTGAGAGGGAGAGTAGAAAAAGCAATAGCTTGGAAAAAGGGGCCAAGAAACACTGTTACCATGGCATGCTTTGGAAAAGGGTTTGGAAGCCAGGCAATACGAGATTCTGCTGAGTAGAGAAAGCACCCAGGGAGAATGAGGAGAGGAAGCCCCTATGGACTGCAGCCAATATACCCCCATTTACATCTTTTGGCTGCCTTTTTTTATGGCCAGCCTTACTTCGCTTGTCGTACAACACTAGCCATCAATATTACAGTTAGGGGGGATTCTATAGATAACGTCTGCGATGGGATTGTAGGGGCCACCACGGGAAAATAGGTAGTTTACAACCAGATGCCACAAAACAAGGGAGCTAGGGTTTGGATCGTGTCTGTTATTTACCTTTTTGCTCCACTTCTATTTTAAGCGTTGGAAGAGAGAATGAAAGGGGTGCAAGGGGAAAAAAAGAGGTTAATATGAATTAACTGTCATCGCTAGGTTACACATGCAGAAACATGTTATGAGACATGGACAAAGACAGGTACACCTATTCAGAGAAAAGGAGGAAAACAGAGAAAGTTGACACACAGCCGCCGGGGTCCTGTCTAAGAAAAATGGTTGGATCAGTAGATTGAGAATGGTGGCAGTTGGTTGTTGGCCCAGTGGTGGGTGGACTTTTTAATTTTAACTATTTACTATTAGTGATTGCACAACTTCAGTCAGGTTCAACATCTGACATTCACAGGGGATGTTATTTTTATTTAATACACAGGATATCAATTCTGTGAATTCCTGTAGGACATTATCTCCATGAAGTTA